CCCTCCCCTGCTCACGCTGTCTCTCTCTCTCTCTCTCCTAGAAATAAATTTAAATAAATAAATAAATAAAATTGGTTTTTTTTCATATTTAAGATAAGTAAATAAAAATGAGCACTTTCTTTCTTAAAGAGTTTAGCAAGGAAATGGCATTCACCATCGTACTGAAGCTTCTTATATAATACGGACTGACAGCTCTGAAATAGAGGATTTGGATGGAAGATGAGAGGGTCCTCTTTCTCCCTCGCTTACGTATTCATGTCCCAGTTGTATTGGTTAGTTTTAAAGTGCATTAGGAGAAGGTCAGAAAAGCACGCTGTGTCTTAGTTTCTACACCTGAAAACTAGAGGTGTCATCTATCTTATATGACTGGTTTGAAAGTTGAATGAAAGTTTATAGGAAACTCCGAAGTCTTGATGAAAGAATATTAATAAATGTAAAGGGTTCCAGTGGTTATTGGAATTGCAAAATGGGAATTCTCCTTTCCACGAGGACTTGAGGAAGATAGAGAAACCCATTGTTTCACACTGCTGATCTTAAAGGAGTTGCTTTGGGACCACTAGATGCTGGGGAACGGAACACTTTCAGGGAAACGGGCATTAACAATTTTGTTGTTTTAAGCTTTAAAGTTACACATGAGTGGGTGAAAGAGGAATTAAATTCCAGGTGCTTTTGCAATCCAGTGGGTTTATTGCATCCAAAAGGCTGTAGGATCAGGCTGTCGACTTCTGCCTTTCTTCCCTGCTATAAAAATGATGTCTTTGTGCTTTCATTTCATCACTGCCTGGGTTCTTCAGGGTAATAAGAGGTAGAAGAGAAACACCTGGTCCCCGTCTCAAGGGTATTTCAGTCATATTTCCCGTCCACACTGTTAGTTCAGCTTTGAGGGCTGTGCTGCTTAGAGTGACCCGTCTTTGTTCTACCGTTGAATGCCCCAAAACCAGGATCCGTTCACCTGACAAAATTACAGCTCCAAAATTAAAAATAAAGTTTTCCTCCTTCTTGCTTTCCCACTCTTCGCTTAATACCACACACACCCAAACTCCTATACCGCAGACCATTGGAGGCAGGAAGAAAAATCAAAGACCAGTGTGACTTGATCACTCAGGTCTGACAGCTGCTCCAGGACGCTGCTAGTGTCTGGACTTCACTCTGGACATTAAAGGTCTTGTCAGGTAACCTGCACTATCTATTATTTTAGGGCAAGAATCACCTCCAGTTGGTTTTCTCTTCTGATGTGCATTTTCTCTTTTCTGTGCTGCTTTTCAGCATCAAATGTGTCTCTGTTCCCTAAGTGGAAACTTTTACAGAAACATTGAGGCTGCATCCAAATCAAGTGAACTTATGGTTTCCATTACATCACCTTTAACTTGAAAAATATTTTATTTGCCCTAATTTAGCTTTTTACATCAACATACTGAGATATTTCATGACTGACCACACATATTAGACCTTGAACCTGTAACTGTTATCATCATTTTATTTGAGATGTAATGATCCAATCATAGTATTTCGAGTTTCACTGATGTTCCCCGGGACAGTATGCCCCGTGCTTTTGAATCTTGGTTATCACCCATGGGTGGTCTGAGGATGCAGTTGTACAAGTTCTCAAGGAAGGAAAGGCAAATACTACCCACTACTTCTATGTGAGCCTAACCTTCATAATTCCAATTTTATTTGAGAGTTTTGTGGTTATAAATAGCTTCGTATTTTCTGGAAAGTATAATCACCATGGATGTTTTAATATATAAAGCATTCCCTCCTGGAAAGTTACAGACATGAATCAAAATGCAATCATAAACCCCTCAAAGCCATGTAACAGAACAGCAGAAAAGCACTCAAAGGTAGGACATTTATTTTTACCAAAGCGGTAAACACGAGGAAGGTCTATCAACTTTATTCATCAATGTCCTCCTTCTGACACCTGTTGCTGCCTGAAACATATTCACACATCCAGCTCCTTTCCTCTGTGCTATGCTTATTTTAAGAAAACCTTTTGGATTGGCACCTTCTGTCTTTCATTTGTAGCACATGCCCGAGTCCAGAACCAAAAAACTGGCCTATGATTCGTGATTACCCAAAAAAGCCCATGCGGAGTATACCATCACTGAATCAGTTCATAATTGAGAAACTGAACCTTAAAACGGAGACCTAGAAATGTGTTACATCAGTTTTATAACAATTAAAATGAATAATCGCAAGCTATTTGTGCATAAAACCTACTGCCATAATTGCTATCAAAATATTGAGGACACATGAAAAATACCTTTGTAAAGAGTCGCTGTAAGGAGTGGTGTTTCTCCTTAGGAGTAGCAGGAGCACATTTTCCATTTTGTCCCTCCTGCCAGACAACTGAGAACCACACTTGAACCTAAGTTGTAATAACTATGTGAATATATGCAAACATAATCCTAATAAATCATTTTTCCTGATCATGGTTTTTACTTAATATAAATATTGTCTTTCCTAATGCCTTCTTGGTCACACAAACAAAATCAACCTGCTCTGTATGGTTCCTGATCTCTTGATTTTAGTCTTAACACTCTTGGATTTATATGTTTCTGTTGTGAGTCATCACAAATCATGTGAGAATAAAGTGGAGTTTAATGAAAACAAATACAATTATTTGCTTGTAATCCCCAGCCTGCAAGAAATTAACATACTGATGACTCACCTATGATGAAATTAGGAAAAACTGATATATCCGTCACACCATCCTGTTTTTGGATGAATGTTTTTCTCCATTTAAAATGACTTCAAACTACAAAAATATTGACCAACCATCCCCCCTCCGTCTTTAGATTTACTTTTGTTCTAAAGAAAAATTCACAGAAGTTTTATCTGGACGTTTTTTTAAATTTCCAAATATTTTTCTCTAAACGTCTGAGTCGTGTTAGTGGAGATAAAACTCATACTTAATTAGAATTTATCAGACAGTTGTTATATATGGCTTTCACTCAGTTCTTTTTAAGAGATCAAAATAGGAACTCACATCTGACATCCCACAATAGTTACTGAAATTGTAGCTAAAATGTTGATTTGGACAGCTGACTTTATACTGCTTACCTTGCAAAGCAGGGTCTGGAAACAGTTCTGATTTAACCTCATTGTACTAATTACTATAAACTCCGTCCTTGAGTAGGATAATAATTGCCGCACTAATTGTTGCCCTGAAAGTGGCATAACTACAGTGAAACCATTAGCTAATGACATATGATTGTCTTGAGGGTATGCATTTGTGCTGACATTAAAGGGTTATCTGAAATAAGCATTATCTATTACTCCATGACTTTATACATTTATTTATTTATCAATCTATCTATCTATCTATCTATCTATCTATCTATCTATTTATATAACAGTCTTTTTAAGATGGGATATTACTCCTGCTGCAAGAAAGTGTTGAACAATCATTTTGTTTTTAATTTTATTGAAGTATAGTTGACATACAATGTTACATTAGTTTCAAGGGTAGGATATAGTGATTCGCTGGTTCTATAAGTTATGCTGTTCTCACAAGTGTAGCTACCATCTGTCACATACAATGCTATTATAATACCATTGATTATATTCCCTATGCTCTACCTTTCATCCTATGACATTCATTCCCTAACTGGAAGCCTGTACCTCCCACGCCCCTTCACCCATTTTGCTCATCCCCCTACACCCCTCCCCTCTGGAAATCATGGGTTCATTCTCTGTATTTATGGGGTCTGGTTTTTATTTTTGTTTGTTTTGTTTTTTTAGATTCCACATAGAAGTGAAATCATGTGGCATTTGTCTTTCTCTGCCTAACATCTTTCACTTAGCATTAAGACCCTCTAGGTTCATCCACGTTGCCACAAATGGCACGATTTCATTCCGTTTTAGACCTGAATAATATTCTAATAATGATTATTGGGTTCTTTTAATGTTCATTTATTTATTTTGAGAGAGAGCACGTGCACAAGCAGGGAGGGGCAGGGAAAGGAGAGAGAAAAACAGAGACAGAGACAGAACCCGAAGCAGGTTCCGCGCTGTCAGCGCAGAGCCCGATCTGAGGCTCAATCTCACAAACTGAGAACATATGACCTGAGCCAAAACCAAGAGTTGGACCCTTAATGGACTGAGCTCCCCCAGGGTTCCCCAACAATGATTACTGTTATGTGGTTTCTGTAACATCAGAGCAGAGAGCCATGGGAACATTGGCATCTGTTCTTTAGCTTAATTCTGCCCTTAAATTATTGTTTGTGAGCTTTTTTTTTTTCATTTTCTCATTTAGTCTTATGGTAACTTCTGCTTCTTGTTCATCTCTTCAACTAAACTAGCCTTCTGAAGTCAGGAATTGTATTTTATAAAATCTCTAAATTCTGTATGGAGACTAAGTCATGGTATATGTAGACAGATAAATCCACGTAAGAACCACCTGGGTTTCACTTTGCAGTCATTATCCAAAAATATGCCTTTGCTCAATTAGCTGGAATGCTTCATTTAAAAAATAATTTAAATGGCAGTAATCAGAGGCAGATTACCTGAGACTTACTATCTGAGAAGGGGATATCTTAGTTTCAAAATAAACGAGGAGATTTAAAAAATTTAAATGTATTTGAATCTGAAGTTTCAACAACTTATACTTCAGTATTCTGTCAATTGCTCCAGAACTGTTGGTATAGTTATCTAGTATCAGCAACATAAAGGTAAACAAACATATTTCAATGTAATGTTCATTCATTGCAATTTCCAAAAAAGTACATCTGAATAGGTTTTGTGCTGTGAGATGCCTCCACAAAATTCACACAGGTGAAATAACGGATTTGCAGACCACGGTATATTCTGATTTTTCAAAAGGTAGAAGTATTTTCAAATAAGCTGTCTTACCTAGTGAACTAATTTTAATTTGTTGATCATATTCCAAAGAGAAAGTTAAGATTCCTCTCGGAATAGTAGTAATCCTTTTATTGTGTTGAGCAGACTGAATCAGACGATAATAGCATAATTTGTAATGAGTTCTTATGTTTCCATAGGTGGATAAGCGGAGCAGCTGTAGTCAATGCATTTTATTCTTCAGGCAGAAATCAGATAGGTAAGGTCTATTCCTAAATAATTCTTTAATATTTCTCTGTTGGTACCAGCTTGTAGTGAATCGCCTGACCAATTTAAGTACTCCCCATAAAAGCACAGCAGAGGCTGTGTTATTGATTTATTGAATATACTCCTTGAAAGCAAATGCATCCATGTACCTCTTTTCACTGTAAGAGCAAATTTTAAGTTAGTACAAATTACATTAAGTGGTTTTCTCTTGCAATGTTCTCATCTATGACTAAATGGTTTATCTTATGTCTAAGTACTTTTATTTTATTTCTGAATATTTTTAAAAGTCTCTCATGTCTCCATAAAGTTACACTGACTTTAGGACTTTCTAAGCATCAGCATAAGTTTAAGGCTGCATGAACCAGCTTTGCAGAAATCCCATCCTCCTGGCAATTATGTATGCCAGCTCTGGTGGGGATGGTCCTGATCTGTATCACCCATTGTTCTAGAAGACTCCAAAGGTCTCAGAAAGTTGAAAAATTAGGTTGAACCATGTGAAATTATATTTGCTTACCTACTTTTAATCAAAAAAGTAAAAAGGAATATGTTCACTAATAGTAATATTATAGGAATATGTACAGAAATGAATACATGAGTGAGTGATATAAGGATTAAGTAAATGGCTGAATATAACAAAGATATATATTTTTTTTTCCTGGAAAGACTTTGAGATCTTTAAACTTTTTCTTAAGTATTACATAAATGGACCCATTTTTTCCCCAAGGGTTTTAAGTATGTAGAAAGGCACCCAACAGATTCACTACTGCCAGAGGTATACTAAGCCAACAGTACAGTCAGTGTCTCCAGGTGTACTTCGTCTAGCTCTTCATTTCTAAATGTGGTAAAGAATCAAGAGAGGAAATCATTTCAGCATTGTCCTAAAATAAAATCTCATGCCTTAAACCTCATTTTTCTTGAATTCTGTTACAAATTAGATTAGAAATAGTGGGAAATCCTGTAGATTTTTACCATTGGTTGCAAAACAAACTTTAAAAGAAATTATAGCCCTAACTTTGTTGTAAAGTTTGATTATACCTTTCCCCATCACTTTTAGACCAAGGAAGAGTTAGCTAAGAAATTATCTTCATTTTTTTCTGGTCTGTTTATGGTCTTTATTTTTGGGGTAAATAGTTAACCATCTGGAATTTATTTTGGTATATGACATGAAAATTAATTATATAAAATAATCAGAAAAGTTGTGTTCTTTTTTGTTTTGTTTTGTGTTTTTAAAATTTATTTATTTTGAGAGAGAGAGTGTGTGTGCATGAGCAAGTAGAGCCAGTGGGGGAGGGGCAGAGAGAGAGAAGAAGAGAGAGAATCCCAAGCAGGCTCTATGCTCAGTGTAGAGTCCAACACAGGACTCAATCTCACAACCATGAGATCATGACCTGAGCTGAAATTGAGTTGGATGCTTAACCCACTGAGCCACCCAGACGCCCCAAGCCTTATTTTTTATAACATATAAATAATAAGTAAGTCATGTGCACCTGCTTAAAATCAATTAGCTCAAAGTCTAGTCTAAAACATTTGCTAGCTAGTACAATGATTACCTAAACCCAGACCAGAACCTGTTTAATGATCAACTCAGAACCCATATAGTCTACCCTTTTCAATGTATTCCTAAAAACCATTCAGTCCTTTCTTAAAAGTGCCTTTCTCTCTGGAGAGCCTTCTCTTTGAAGACCTCTTTCTGATATTAACTAGTTCTGTCGGTATAAGATCTAGTTCATTATAGACTTGGACTTAAACAAGATAATTAGCTTTTATGGTATTCTAAGGCAAAATGAGGCAGCCTGGACTTCATTCTGTATTCGAGGAGACTAAAAGATACAGGTTTATTTTAATCCAGCTCAGGAAGGACCCTGGGTCCTATCAGACCTGGTGCTGGTTCATTCCAACAAGAAGACCCAAACAGACCCTTTGTAGAATGAGTCTGGCATGGTAATCCCTTCAGCCCCTCTCTAGAGCACGTCTACATAGTTCAGGTGAAGACAGGACCTTTTTAGGCTCTGAATTACCCATATCCCTGGAGCTGGCTCAAAATTGGTTCACTTCAGAGATTCCCTGATCAGAGAAGACCAGAGAATGTTCTCAGTTTGAATTTAATACCCTCAAACCAAAGAAGCACACAGCAAAAGGAAAAAGAAGGTAAAAGTGGCCTCACATTTCACAGAGTACTCCGTCATCCTCTGAATAATCAACAATTGGCTGCAATAAGCATTCTTAATAAGAAAGACCTTTAAAGGATTCTCAAGATAAATTCACCAGATAGAAATTCAAAATCTGAAAAATTAACATCTTTTCATATGCTTGTCTTCTAATAACAGCAGTTCAGAGGAAAGGAAAGTGTCATGCAGGAAGAGAAATCTTTGACATATGTATGTTTTCTCTTTAACAATTCATTTAAATCTTCAAGATGGGGATTGTCTTAACTAAAAATAATTGAAGGGGTGCCTGGGTGGCTCAGTTGGTTAAGCATCCGACTTCAGCTCAGGTCATGATCTGGCAGTCTGTGAGTTCAAGCTCTGCATCATACTCTGTGTTGACAGCTCAGAGCCTGAAGCCTGCTTTGGATTCTGTCTCCCTCTCTCTCTCTGCCCCTTCCTCACTCACAGTCTGTCTCACAAAAATGAATAAATGTTAAAAATGTTTTTAAAAAATGATTGAAAATCCAGACCTTCATCTTTCTTCTAGATAGAAGTGTGTGTTTATACATACATAGATATACAACGTTTGATTTTGTTATTGTGCGTTACATTATTAGAATTGATATAGAATACATGTGTCTTATAAATGACCCTCCTACCCTCACACAAATACCTTAAATTAGATCACATATAATTTCTCATGGGATTGGCCTTTTTACATTATGGTAAAAAAGAGCTTGTTTTGGGGCGCCTGGGTGGCTTAGTCGGTTAAGCGTCCGACTTTCGCTTAGGTCATGATCTCGCGGTTCGTGGGTTCGAGCCCCACGTCGGGCTCTGTGCTGACTGCCAGCTCGGAGCGTGGAGCCTGTTTCAGAGTCCGTGTGTCCCTCTCTCCCTGACCCTCCCCTGCTCACGCTGTCTCTCTCTCTCTCCTAGAAATAAATAAAAAACATTAAAAAAAAAAAGAGCTTGTTTTATTATCATTTAGGGAGTTATTCATATTAATAATTTCTTCTTTTTAATTCAATTCCAAGCACTTTTTGTTCTAACTCACACAGGCAGACTATATTCTAAGTCTTATGCACCCCTGCCAGTTCACATCAATTAAAAAAAAAATCAGCTTCCCAGACAGGAAGGCATACTGAAACTGTTTAATTCACTGGTTCTTATTCCCCACACATTTGCTCCACAGAGCTCCAGAAACTTTCCATGGACTATTTAGTATATTCAACGTGGGTGGTGTATGATGACCTTGAAATAATATATTTTCTAAAGTTACCTGACTTGTTCTTAGATTCTTATCTAATTTTCAGACTTGAAAATTAAGAGCAAATATTTCCAAACATATTTCATTTAACCTAAAAAATAATATTTAACTTTTGCCACTCAAAATTGATTTTACCTGATATCATCAAGCTTTATATCAAAGATTCTAAAACTGGCTTGCTTGCAGCTTTAAAAAAAAAAATAAAGCAGCGAAGCAAATGCATGGGAGGTAGGGAGAAAAACAGGGTTTTTTTTTGTTTCAGGGACCAATGACTTATCTCATTAACTAGTTGACAATCATGAATGTAAAAAATGTACAACTAAGCAATTAGTTATTATCAGCAATTGTAAAGTCTACTAGTAATAGCGATAGGCTAATGGGGAAAATCCTCAATATTGAGATTTAGCTGATAATGTATAAGGAGACATCATAATTTGCGAAGCTGAACTTGAAGACTAAAGTTTAATATGAGCCATAAAAATCTTATCACTTGCCTGACGAATGACATATCAAGTTATAATTAAGGCAGCAGGATCTTTACAGTTAATGTTTAGTCTTGATAGCACATTTCATAAGAGCATTTTATATAATGGGTGGGTTTTAATCAAAGTACATAGTGTAGGAGATAGTATTCACTCTAAGTTAATAAAGTACTGCACATAATTTTAATACTTTAAGCTAAAAATAATTTCTTGGCACTGTTGCTAACTCAGGCAGCTACATGTGAGGTATAACTTTTCATCCAAATTCTCCAAGGACAGAAGTATTTATTTCTAATTATTTTGTCATTTTAGATGTTATGACAACTTTCCAGATTTTTTTAAAGGTCTGGAGAGCACTTAAATTGTCTAGCATATTTTTAAAGTCTCCTCTGTAAACATCTAATATTTATCCTTGAAATCCATGCAAGGCTATGCCGTATTTGCCCCACCCAAAAGACAGAAACAACATTTGCTACTCTGTGTAACCAGATCTTAGATTTTTTAAGGTCAGGGCCCTTCTCTTGAGTGTTCTTAGAATCCCACATAGCAGCCGCCTAGGGCTTTGCATGCAATAGGTGTTGATACAAAAGATTTTTTTATTATTATTACAGGACATAATTCAGTAGATACTAGAATTTTAAAACATGTAAGATAAAACTGCTAAGTTACACGGGCATTATGAGGAAAGGGAGGGCACGAGGGAGATAACGTAGGAGAGGACCATGGCGGCAAAGGCCAGGAAGAAGGTGCTGTATTTAGTTAGAAAGCGTCAAAGCCATCTAAGGACTTTTCGCAGGTTAGTGATAGTGACCAGAGTTGCGTTTTAATCTGGCTGCAGGATGGATTAGATTTAGGATAGATTATAGTTGGGTGAGATAGGAAGTGGAAAAATCACATAGGAAATTAAATAATTCTTTTTTTAATTTTTCATAATGGCTATTTATTTTTGAGAGACAGAGCACAAGCCAGGGAGGGGCAGAGAGAGAGAGGGAGACACAGAATCTGAAGCCGGCTCCAGGCTCTGAGCTGTCAGCACAGAGCACAACACAGGGCTTTAACTCACAAACTGTGACTTCATGATATATGCCGAAGTTGGACACTTAGCCAACTGAGCCACCCAGATGCCCCATGGAATTTAAATAATTGTTAAGACAAGGAATGATAATATGAAGTAGGATGGTGGCATTAAGACTAATAGGAGAAGATAAACAGAAGAGATACTCCTGGAAGGAAGGTACATGACCTGGTCTTTTCCTAAGTAGACTGTGTAAGACTTCATAAAACAAATATATATATATATATATATATATATACACACACACACACATACATATATATGTATGTGTGTGTGTGTATGTATAGAGAGAGGCATCTAAGATAAATATAAAATGTTAATGTCAGATGATTGAGATCCTTCAAATGCCATTAACAGAAATAAAGTCAAGAGAGTAATGGCTTAAAAGGGAAAATGGGGGCACCTGGGTGGCTTAGTCGGTTAAGCATCCGACTTTCGCTTGGGTCATGATCTCGCGGTTCGTGGGTTCGAGCCCCGCGTCGGGCTCTGTGCTGACTGCCAGCTCAGAGCCTGGAGCCTGTTTCAGAGCCTGTATCTCCCTCTCTCTCTGACCCTCCCCTGCTCACACTGTCTCTCTCTCTCTCCTAGAAATAAATAGAAATATTAAAAAAAAAAAAAAGGGAAAATGATGAGCTTGATGTTTGACACATGAAATTTAAAGTTTATAAGATTTCTAAGTGTAGAAAGCTAGCAAGTTAATGTAGATGTCAGGATAGACATAAAAATAGGTTATTTATTTAGTAAAATCTTCAGTAAATTCATTTGCTCATTCATCATTGATTATTCACCTATTCAATATATTTCTTAAGCATCTGTTATGTTCCAGGCACCTTGCTAGTTTTAGGTGCTGGAGATAATGAACTCACAAAACAAATGGACTCAACAAATAAAGAAACAAATGTACCTCCAGACCCACAGATCTCTGCTCTCAAAGGACTGATACTTGAGGTGTTAGATCAGGTGAGAGTGATAAGATAAAGAAGGACAACAACCAAAAATAAGGAAATAAACCATCATAGTTGCCTTGTTAAAAATAAAATAGAGCAATGTAATTGGAGGATGCCTTTGATTGAGTGGTTCTGTTTACTTAGCAAGCTATTGTAGATGAATAAAATATTAGAGATGACATTAAAGGTAATACTTGTGTTATTAAATAACTGTTTCTCCCAAATATTTGCAGGGGGGGAAAGACCTTTTGAATGAAGATGATTATTTTCCCTTGCTCTAAACTCTTTATAGCAAAAAACAATCTTAGAAGAGTTTGTAAGGTGAATAGTGATTATAAATCATAGATTACGATGCTGCTTTGGGATGAACTCTCTGTCGTCATCAATAATAAAAGACCTACATATGTTTCATCACAGAAGATTTTTATGTACGATTAAGTGAAACTGACATACTGGAAAATAGCTTAGCAGGCAGAAAGCCAGCCCCGGGCCTGCCATCACAGAATAATGCCAATAATCTTCAACCATCTTCTTTCTTTGTAGTCTTCCCAGCTGGCATTCTGCAGCCCCCCTTCTTCAGTGCTCAGCAGTCTAACTCGTTGAACTACGGGGGTATTGGCATGGTCATCGGACACGAAATCACCCATGGCTTCGATGACAATGGTAAAGTGTAGTGGACACTTCCTTTTGGCTGAGATAGATCCTAATAAACCTGATTAAGAGTTATTATACTTGATCAGTACAAGAACACATTTATTCATCAGTGTATCATTGGCTAATAATCCTCTGTTTAGTATTCCTTTTAAGTTGTTGCTTAGAAAGATCGGAAATTTCTAGTAGTGAGGTAAGCAATGTGTGCGTTCCACTCTGACAGAATAACACAAATACTCTCATTGAGAAGGCACTGATGTTTGTCAACACCAATGATAAATGTCTGGTCTTATTTCATGAAAGTGTCTATTAAACTCAACTCAACGATTCAGTAATTTCATAGGTAGGTACTAGTATCATTTCTATTTTTTTTAATGGAAAAAAGTAGAGGCACATGAAAAACTTGCTTGAAGTTAAAAGCTAGGAATTAGTGGAATCAGGATGTGAGTTCAATCCTTTGTCTTTGTAGCCCTTTTCATATTCACTCCATCATAAGTAACTATTTAAAAGGATGAGAAAATGAAGTGTTAAAACATGACATATAAGAAATGCCACTGTAGCTCAAAAAAGGGAAAGACCACTGAATTTCGGGTTAGTGGGAAAGCCCCAGGAGGAAAGCAACTCTTTCTTCGTGCTTGGAGTAGAGGGAAACTGAGTCTACAAAGTTTCATGAGGTGTCTAAGATATGAAATGAATGCAGAATACAAATAGTGATCATTTTAAATCTCAAAATATCAAATTACACAGACTCGGTCAATATGAAAACCCTCCAAAGAAAGAAGGCACGGTCTCCGGCGCGGCTTACCTGGTGGCGCCGGCTGAGGTATCAGGAGCCAACACTGAGGCACATCAGCAAAGCAGGCCCTGGCAGCCCAAGCTTCATTGGGGCAGGATGAGAAAGGGAGCCGTTTCTCTGATTACCTACCTCTCCAGCGTAGGATTCTCTCACCTAGTAGTATTTCGGACCTTGCCTTTCAAATTAAAGATACCTTCTTTTAATTCTTGATGTCATGAGTTCCCATTTTGCTTAAATCATTATATTACAGGCAGAAATTTTAACAAGGATGGAGACCTGGTTGACTGGTGGACTCAACAGTCTGCAAATAATTTTAAAGAGCAATCCCAGTGCATGGTGTACCAGTATGGAAACTTCTCCTGGGACCTAGCCGGTGGACAGCATGTATGTCATCAGCACTCTCTGGAGAAGTTTTAGAGATACTTTATCTTTTTTATTGTGGTTGTTCTTGATGTTTTATTTTATTTGAGGATAGATGACACATAATGTTACATTAGTTTCAAGTATACAACTTAATGATCTGACAATTTTATACACTGTGCTGTGTTCACAAGTGTAGCTATCATCTGTCTCATGACGTTATTACAGTATCCCTGACTGTATTCCATATGTTCTGCTTTTGATTCCTGTGCCTTACTCATCCTGTAACTGGAAGCGTGCCCAGTCTTGTCTTCACCTATTTTGCCCATCTGCTATCACCTTCCCCTCTGGCAACCATCAGTTTGTTTCCTATATTTATAGTTCTGATTTTTTTATTCAATTTTTTTTAGATTCCATTTACGGAAAATCATTTGTTTTTCTCAGTTGGACTTATTTCACTTAACATAATACCTTCTAGGTCCATCTATGTTGCCTCAAATGGCATGATCTCATCCCTTTTTATGGCTGTGTAATATTTCTTTTTTTTTTTTAATATTTTTATTTATTTCTAGGAGAGAGAGAGAGACAGCGTGAGCAGGGGAGGGTCAGAGAGAGAGGGAGTCACAGACTGAAACAGGCTCCAGGCTCTGAGCTGGCAGTCAGCACAGAGCCCGACGCGGGGCTCGAACCCACGAACCGCGAGATCATGACCTAAGCGAAAGTCGGACGCTTAACCGACTAAGCCACCCAGGCGCCCCGGCTGTGTAATATTTCTATGTGGTGTGTGTGTGTGTGTGTGTGTGTGTGTGTGCACGCGTGCAAACTTCTTCCTTACCCATTTGCCTATCCGTAGACACTTAGATTGCTTCTATGTCCCGGCTGTCGTAATGCTGCAGTAAATAAATATATCTTTGCAACTTAGTGTTTTTGTTTTCCCTGGATAAATACCCAATAGTGAAATTATTGGATCGTGTGGTATTTCTATTTTCAACTTTTTGAGGAATAGATATAGTCAATCTTAAGTGCATTGTTGATGCCTTTTTAACAACCCAAATACAGGGAAGGATCCTTAAGCATCTTTTGTTTTTTAACAGCTCAATGGAATTAATACACTGGGAGAAAACATTGCTGATAATGGAGGTATTGGCCAAGCATACAGAGTGAGTGACAATATTGTTTCCCACTTTAATGGTTGCAGTATATATTTATCATATTCAATCACTGATGTAAAAACTTTTGCAAAAGACACATATAATGTAGGGAGTATGCAATGAATAGAAAGTAGAAAATACATGGGGAAAAAAGGGATTGTAAGTATGCTAACCAGAAGGAGCAGTACAGTTATGATTGAGCTAAACACCAGTCCAGGCTCCCAAGAAGCTGAGGAGAAGAAGAAACATGGAATGTTACATCAACAGAAACAAGGGGACATGCATGTTCCACAGAGGAAGCAACATTTTTCTAAGAAATAATCTCTGAAATAATTTTTTTCAAAACGGTGCCTCATAAAAAGCATTATTTCAGCCATTGATCAGTGTACTAAACAGGACCTTCAGTTTTACAGCAGGTGAAGCAGTTGGGAACCATAATCAGCATAAACCAGTCCAGTTACAACAATACACTGAGGGAATGAAGTGATATGGCTCCAGCATGTGGCCCCGTAGTCATCCCAACTATTATACCTGGAGGGGTATATCCATGGATCATCCCTTAGAATCTCACTTAGGCTTCCCTTCATTCTTGCATTCAACAAATACTTGTTGAGGACCTTACTGTTCTCAGTGCAGGAGATGTAACTGCAAAGCGTCCATGAAGTATGTCATTATTTGATGGTTAGAGCAAGGTTTGAAGGATGGTCTAGTCGATGCCATGGGCACAAGAAAAAGTAAGGATTTTCACAGGAGAGTAGGGGGATACTGGTCTGGGAAGCAAAAAGAAAGGGGAGAGAGGGTAGTTTTGCATGCTTCTTCCAACCCTGAAGTAGCCCACATGTGGGACAATGAGCAGCATATACTTGAGAAGGGACAAGGGACAAGGTGCTCCAGGACAGAACCAGGCTTCTTTAAAACAAAGACGGATGGAATGTCCTCTGCAATGGATGAGGATGTAGGGTTATTTTCTCTAACTGGGTTAAGGGGAGTAGGAGGGCATCAGTGGTTGGGCCAGGTAGAGGGAAGCAGTGTGGGAGAAATGACTGGTAGAGTCTATGTGTGAGGCTGGAGAGATTAAGCTGCCTGCAGTTTCCAAAAGAATGAGTCCCAGCAGAGTCCTGGCGGATGGTAGATTGCTGCTGCTTGGAATACTTGTTAATATTTTGACTGGATGCCAGGCAATGTGCATTTCACCTCTTTGGATGCTAGGTATTTTGTTTTCGCACAAATATTCTTGAGCTTTATAGTTGGACACAGCTAAATTCTTCAGAAATGGATTGATCCTTTTGGATCTAGCTTTTACAACTTGTTTGGTGGGATTAGGGTAATATTCAGCCTAGGGACAACTCTCCCCTGCGGAGACAAGACCCTGCTGTGCAAATCTCGAGGTCTCCATTTTCGTCTTGTGTGAGTACTAGGCATTTTTATCTCTAATCCTTTTTCATGGTTCCTTCCCTAGTTTCTGGTAGTTTGCTCATATGCATACTCACATACTCAGCTGAGTACTTGATCTCTAGAGATATTCTTCTGTGTGGCTTTCCCCTTTTTAGCATCCTGTCCTTGGTGTCCTTGAACTCTCAGCTCTTTCTCAACTCAAGCAGTCTCTTAGGCTCTGATTGAGTTTCTCTTCTCTATGTTGTAGCTTGCAAATGCTTAAGGCAATAAACTGGGACAATTATAGGGCTTAGCCTATATGTTTACCATCTCAGAGAGGTAACTCTTCTTTTTGCCTGATGTCAAGTGTCACGCACACCATTGTTGCATGTATTTTGTCCATCCTTTGGTTGTTTCAGCAGAAAGGTAAATCCATTTCCTATCACTCCATCTTGCCTGGAAGTGGATGGGATTGGCACTCTTAATACTCCCACGGTTATTCTAATATTCAGACAGATGATAAATCATTCCTGTAAAAATCTAGCCAAAATCTGGGTTAATGGTACTTCCATGAAGATCTTGACCTAAAACAAGTAAAGAATTATTATAATGAAGCAAATTACAAATGTGCAAATATTTTATTATATTTTAAATCATAGCATCTAATACCCTGTACCTTTTGCTGTATTGGGAGCTCCCTAGGAGGAAGCAGGATCAAGTCTTCCCCATGTTCCTAGCATCTTTACAAAGGAGATACTCAGTAAATCTATGTCAGTGGCAAGGAAGAAGAAATGAAATATATCTTCTGCTTATCTAATTGATCACTTTCCTTTGTATTAAATTGGAAATAACACCTTTCAGAAGGTTGGCTGTAGATCTTTAAGTATATTTAGTCGAGGAAAACTACATTTTTAATAGTGTTCATAAGGCCTTAAGAATTAAGAACATTTTCTGACCTTCAAGTAACCTAAATTCCTTCTTCCTAATGTAACTGAGGTTCAGTCTATTTTGCCCTGTCTTGCAGGGGGCCACAATAATTCCTCATCTTTATCCTTAGAACCATAGGATACTAATTTTTAAGAGATCTAAAGGAATTCCTTGACTTTGGCCATGAATCATTCAAACAAAGTATGATGAAAGTCTTTGCTAAGAGTAGTAACTGAGGTAAATATAACCATCACAAACTCCCTTAGCAATCCATTCTTCCAACTAGCTGTACCTATCCATCTATCTATAGAACAACATTTAGATAAGTTTTTCACCATTTATTTAAGTCATCCATTCATTCGACTGACATTTATTGATCATTGACGTTTTCAAAGCACTTTTAAATAAAGTTTGGGGTTTTTTTATTTAAAAAAATTTTTTTATGTTTTATTTATTTCTGAGAGAGAGAGAGAAAGGCAGCGTGAGCAGGGGAGGGTCAGAGAGAGTGGGAGACACAGAATAGGAAGCAGGCTCCAGGCTCTGAGCTAGCTCTCAGCACAGAGCCCAACGTGGGGCTTAAACCCACGAACCGTGACATCATGACCTGAGCCAAAGTTGGACACTTAGCCGACTGAGCCACCCAGGCATCCCAATAAATTCTGGTTTTCTTTCTATCCATTAAATAGTTGTAGGTTGCCATATGTAAACATATTATTATGATGATCCTGATATAAAAGGTTAATTACTTGGTTACATAGTCTTTTGCAAAGATTCATACATAAATTTCAAAATTATAAACAGCATGTTTCCATTTCATTAACTGCCTAGGCCTATCAAAATTATGTTAAAAAGAATGGTGAAGAAAAACTACTTCCTGGACTTGACCTAAATCACAAACAACTATTCTTCTTGAACTTTGCCCAGGTAGTATATCTTTCTTGAATGATAGATATGAAAATCATTTTGAGTTATAATTTCATAGTAAGTTAAATATTGCATGCTGAGTTTTCCTGTTTTAATCAGTATGGCAGAGCATTTGACTTGACTGACTTTTCATTATTTATAACAGACTATCACATCATATTAATGATAATTATGTTTCTGGTTGCCTATCACTGAACAATATTTGAAGAGTAAATGGTTGAGGAATGCAGAATTCCAATTTAATTTTTGCAGTAGGAAGTTGGCCTGCCCAAACAAATATTCTTAGACGGAACCTAAGCATGCTACTTTCCTTTTTCTGTTCCTATCCCTAGGTGTGGTGTGGGACCTACAGGCCAGAGTATGCTGTCAACTCCATTAAAACAGATGTTCACAGTCCAGGGAATTTCAGGTACGTGGGTTTGAACAGCAGTCAGGTGCCCCAATATTGATTCTATTCCTCCTAAATTTGGAAACTGGTTTTTTTTCTAACTCCGACTACACAATTTTGAAATACAATTTTTTTTTCTTTTGAGGGTCATAGAACAAACAATCAACAGAACAAATCAGGATAAATGTCCTGTTTATATGAGCATAGCCTTGACTGCTGTTATCCTCAGAACATACGTGACCTGTGCTCAGTGCTTGATGAACACCAACAAAGATGTTGCCTGAGTATAGTGGCTCTATTTCAGGCCAGCACAGACATCTTTAAGAGGCTATGAAAAGTTTAGGCCTAGCACCAATGAGTAGCCATTCCAAAGAAAGATTTCCACTCAACATAAAGAGAAATGTACTTTAATTAGAGGTTGACTAGAATTAGAGGTTTAATCAGAGCTAATTAAAGGCTGTCCAACATAAAGTTAGCCCCCAAGCTCCAGGAGAAAACACCTTGAAGCAGAGGTCAGAGAAGGACTCATCAAACATGCTGGAGAAAAATGCTCTGTAGACTGGAGGGTTGAGTTAGAAGAAATCTAAAGTCCTTCTGAGACCAGAAAATATAAGAGAAATCAATACAGTGAAAGAGAATCAGTCTAACCAGCATTTCAGTGTTAAATCCTGGATCCCTATGTATCCAATTTAGGACTAAATTATTAACGCTCTCCCTTCCAACATACAATACCACTTCATCACTGATTTATTGATCAACAACAACACTTCTCAGGCAGGAACTCTGAAAAACAAATTAAAAATTTTGTAGAGTGGTTGGGAAACAGTTTCAGAACAAAAGAGAATTAAGGGGCTGAGTTTTAAGAGCCCCTCTTAAAATACACATAAGCATACTGCCCCGATCATTTACTACTGGGGAAAAAGCATATTCAATTATGAAATAATAAAATAGCACATTTACAAATTAAAGAATTTACTCAGCTCGCTCCAGTATCATCATTGTAATCATCATCATTTAGTATTTGCCTTAACAGTTCTTTCAAAATTCATTCACTCGGCAACTGTTTATTGTATGCCCATTATGTTTATAATCCAAGGTAAATTCAGTCTTGCTAGAATATTCAAATTAACTTCTTTTTTAGATAAAAAGCAGCAAAAGTCACTAGGTCAAGTCCCATGATGGTTTACCCAAGTAACTGTTTTCATTTCTAGAATTTTCTTTTTCCTACCTGAAGTCTTCAGAAGTGAAGATACAGGAATCTAATTCTTAAGACAACAGAGAGCAATTTATAAGCTCACATCAACCATGAAAGCAGTCTAATTGGTCAAAGTTCTTCCCTCCATATCCCCATGAACTAAAACATATATCAATAGAAACCTAAGTGAATTTAAGTAGTATTACTGTCGTACCTGATACACCTGGTATCATCAGAGCATGGGGCTTGCAAATTAAAGTTTTGGATCGCTGCAATTTGTCCCTTGAGTGTTAATGTTTTCATCTTAACCACGGATTAAAATTTCTCTGTTTAAAATATATTTTCTACCCTGTTTCCTTATTAACACAGTATCCTCAACAAAACCTAACCTTTTTTTTTTTTTATAACGACAGCCTGTTTTATGACTATTAGTTGGCATTTTAGCATTTATTAGTTAATGCTAGTGTGGGAAACTACTTACTCCTACAATATAGAGACACTGATGGGGGTACAGTAGTGCTTTTTTTCACTTTTAATTTTGGCTTTTTATTAGGGTTTTTCTGGTTGTTTCTTTCCTAGTTCTCTTTTTCTGTTACTACATTGCCTGCCTTTTGCCATCCCATTACTTTATTCTGATTAAGTCAGAAAGCATATCTTTATACTACTCTTGAACTCTTGAGTTCCACCCATGACTTGCCATTTGCAAGCTGTTACTTAATCTCTGTGTCTCAATTTCTTGATATATAAAATGGGGATTAAATTCCCATGAGAGTCATTGAAGATTAATGTTAATATAGAAGTGTCTATTACATATAGATGTTTGAAAATTAGTACGAGGATTATTTTTAGATAAGAAAGGTATAAACAGAATAAGAATTTCCAGGAGTAAATAAATGGACTTTGAAACACTTTTTATTAACTAAAGTCAGGGGCTCTTTGTTGCTTATTTCTTATGTCTGTATAGTTCAGAATGTCAGCAACTGATCACTGGTTAAATGATATGTAGGTAAATACACAACTGTTTTCTACCTTCAATTTTAAAATGAAACAATTTTATTATAAATACATAAAATTTGCTCTCTGTAAAAGCACATATTATCTTATCATAAAATGTGTAAAATTATTTGTAATTTTCGTTTTCTCTGTTCTGGTGCAAAAGATGCCCCTTTGACTATTTTTCATTTAAAGCAAGAGAAGTATGTGTTTTTTTTTTTTTTTTTTTCCAAAGGGTAAATGGAATGCCAACCCTTTGTCAAGGAAATTATTATTTTCTCTGGAGGTAAAGGGATTTCCTTGGCAAAAGGTTGAGGTTACATTTAGTTTTGGAAACAAGCTGCTTCCTGGCTGTACAGAGTAAAACATATTTTTTAAAGAGCCTTAAAAACTAATAGACACCGAATTGCTATTGAAAAATTGTGCATAGTGGGTTGTGTAGAAACATTTCTTAAATAAAGGGAGATTTTGTAAGCTTGCACTTAAATAGTCACAGTATTAACAACAAAAGGCAAAATATAATTTGATATCAAGCTGAATCTATAAAACAGTTTGTTAGGTCTGAGCTGTAATTGTTTTATTCTTCCTAACTAAAGTCTTATGTACTTTTACACAAACCTCTAAAACTTTAGTATTTAAAACAAAAACATTTCCCCTTGAGGTTCTAAACACTGAACTCACAATTTAAATGCCTTCTTTTTGGAAATTCAATTTTTCTTAGCCATCTGCAGTCACTTAGAATGGTTGTTATGCTAATATTTACCATATAAACGACAGATGTGTTTCCAAAGTTATTCAGATGTAATACTTCTAAACAGTCTAAAAGGGTCTGATACTTGTTTTAAACCAAATCTGAAGGGACAAAGTGATACCAATGTAAATAGTAAAGTAATAGTAATATAGATGCTTAAAGTAATATAGATGCTTAAATTGCTAGGGGCACCTGGGTGGCTCAGTCGGTTAAGCATACGATTTAGGCTCAGGTCATGATCTTGTAATCCGAGACTTCAAGTGCCACGTCGGGCTCTATGCTGACAGCTCAGACCTGAAACCTGCTTCAGAGTTTGTGTCTCCCTCTCTCTCTGCCCCTCCCCTGCTCACACACTGTCTCTCTCTCTCTCAAAAATAAATGAACAGTTAAGAAAAATTTTGTAAAATAGATGCTTAAATTGCTCGATAATTATCTTCCAGTCAGAATATAAGAGCACTTTATAAAACTAACACTACTAATAAAGCAAGAAATTTTTCCCACAGGTTAATTCCTAATACTTTTTGTAAGATACTCTTTATAGTGTTTTATGTAGACATTTCCAAGTAATATGGTGATTTTGTTCCCTATTATTGTATGATTTAATATGCAAATGTTAAATCCTCTTTGAAATACTAATATTTCCTCCATATACCTTAAATATTAGCATTGGTTTTTGATATTTTGTAAATGTCAGTTTGGATTTTGGTAAATCTTGTAGAATTCCTGTTAGCACTTGTTAATCCATAGTAGAGCATAAGCTGATCGATGTGACCTTACTGGAATAAAATCATCAACAACAGTTAATGATAAGTACTGGATAGTTAACTTATGAATGAAACTAGTCAACCTTGTAACCAAGTCATTCATTTAAAAGAAGGAACAAAGGGTTATCAGAAGACCAATTAATTGCAAAAAGTTCATTCAATAATTTAAAAATCCAGTTAAGTGTAGGCAGGAGTAGTCTTCTTGGTCACTTCTGTCTCTTAAATGTTTTTAAAACAAGTGATTATTTGCCAAGGGAATAAACAACAGTAGTACAATAAAACATTTTATACAAAAAAGTAAAACTTTCAAGTAAATCACTTTAAGAAATAATTAATAAAAGTCATTTATCTTTGTTATTATAAACACATACACTACAGTTTTCATGTAGCATGAAATTCAGGTAAGTATTTTATATAGTATTAATGAAATAGGACCCCACTCTTAAGAGAAGGGATTCATTTGATTAATAATGTATCCACTTTTTGAAAGAGATTATTTATGTCATCCATCCAAAGATTTAACGTAAACAACAGGGCATTAATTAGAGTCGTAGGAAGGTAAGTGAAGTCCTGGTACATTGTTGACCTAATTATTCAGAATCAAATTGTCTAAGCGAAGCTTTGGATGCAAAGAGAAGAGCTAGAAGGGAAAGGAAGAGCTAAGTGTGCCTTAGGTTGAGTGTTGGTGCATTGCTAACGCCCATTGGTGTTTTGTGAAGACTTCCCTTTTTTGAGGTGTGTGTGTATGTGTGGGTGTGTTTAATTTCCTTAATATTTTTATGACAAATGTAGAATTAGGTCATGGATTTGGACATTTTACTGAAGTACTTGTCCCCATGTGATTATATTTAACCCACAATCCTTTTTTTAAAAAGGTTTACTAAAATGAAAACAAAAAAGAGCAACTCCTCCAGTCAGTGACTCTCAGATGATCTCCCTGTCCATCAGGGAGCTTCCTCCTCAGTTTGGGGAACAATCAGGCCACCATGATGACTGTCACTCAGCTAGGATATAGGGCTTCCTAAAGTAAAAAGGGGATTGAATTAAATGAATCAAAGCATCTCTCAGTCTCAGAACTGATGAGCCCAGAAACTTTAAAGACCAATACAAATTCCTGATGTCTAACATCCTTTTATTCTTTGGAGCACCTGGCTGGCTCAGTCAGTAGAACATGCAACTCTTAGTTGTGGGGTCATGAGTTTGAGCCCCACATTGGGTATAGAGATTACTAAAAATGAAATAAAATACTTTTATCCCTGCATATAATCACTTTAGACCACGTATCAAGTAAATTTGTTCTTAACTTTTAGATGCAAGAAATGACACATTTATTATTATTATTACTATAATAGTAAATTAATTCAATCTCCAAGCTCCCGACCTAAACAAGGAAGTAAGAAATTTAATTTCTGTAGTTTTCGGTGTACTCCTTTTTAGGATTGTACAGGAATCTGAAGACCCAGTGGTCACTGCTGATATTCCTACAGTTCAAGGGCTCCATCTGAAGTCAGGTGGCTCCATTTCCTCCGGGTGGTCACGGGCAATGGCTCCTGTGGTCACAGCTCTGGCTCCTACCCCACCTCAACTCCCTGCCCCCCAATACCAGGCAGATACCTAGTAATCTTTAGGACTCTTCGAGGAGTACTAAAAAAACCACACACAGCCAGAAGAGGTTTACATTCTCCCTGAAGGATAAGGGAGTTGTGATGTTGGGGATTGAGAGACAGTTGATGTGATAATGGTTGACACATTAGGAAGTCAGACTTTCAGAAATTAGTTATCATTCAGAAATTCAGTTATCATTCAGGAATTTAGTTATCTTTCCTGGAATGGGGATAAGGAAAGCAAATGCTTGCTTTCTCACATAGTTGGTTGTAGCAAATCAACAAAAATGCCAAGCAGTGTTTCTCTTTATAATTCCCTATTCCTCATATACATGTAATCACCATGACCAGCTGACAGACTAATGTATTCAGTATGTATGTACTGAGTCCCACGGGGAGGGTCGCAGAGAGCAAGAGATACACAGTATTTTGCCCTCACGTTACAGTGTAGTGGTTATATCAGGAAGTAAAGAAGAAGGACAAAGCATTGTGAACCGAGAGGGCTCCCACAGGTGGAAGGCACTAATCTGGACATTATTCGAAGGAAGTCTCTGAGGAGGGGTGTTTAGAAGTGGAGGCATAAAGGCTGAGAAGGAGTGAGTCATGTAGTCACCGGGGAGTAAACTTTCCAGGGAGTATGGTCAGTGGGAGCAGAAAGCGCTGAAGAGAGAAAGACATTGGCTGGTTTGATGAATGGAAAGTAGGTCGGTGTATGAGAGAAACGGGAAGAAGAACAAACGTACTATGAGGAAGCCGGGAAGGTAGGCTGGAGCCACAGAACATTGGAAGCCACGGAAAGGAAGCTGAATTTCATTCAAGACCCTGGAAAATTTTAAATGAGGGATTTAGGGGATTTCATTTAAATCTTAAAGATCACTCTGCTGTGTGGAGAATGGGTTAGAGGAGATAAGAGTGCAAAGATTTACACTTAGCCCATCTGCCACGTAAGGAGGTCTCAGTAATTAGAACATACTGTCTTGTCACTTGCTTGAGGTCCTCCCACCACCCTGGTCTGTTTGCCTCCCTGCCCTTCCTCCCAACCCAAGGTGGGTGTGGTGAGGTGGCCCCAGTGGGAAGAGAAGGGAAGGAGCTGGTTTGGGGTTGATGTGAAAACACCGCCTCTGCATCGCTCACTGTACTGACCTATCTCTCTCCTCAAATGTTGCTTGGTGCCGACTGTGGGTTAGACAGTGTTGTTTTTGCCCATTGGGGTCAGAGATAAGAAGAAATTGACTTTCTGCCAGCCCTTTCCAGTTACTCAGGCTGAATCCAGTTTCTGATATCTATGGAGTTCTTTTGGAAAAAAGGAAAATAATTATCTTCCTTATTAAATCAAATCAACGAATATCTATTTGAAGTCTGCTAAACTTAAGTTATTGTGTGAGCCCTTCCAAAAGGTAACGAATACTCATGATTTTATTTTTGGCCAGACTCTTCGTTATATAACTGCGATTCCAAATATGAATTATTTATTTATTTTACAACATGTATGTCTTACCTTACATGTATACCCTCGGCAACCTTAAGATGCAGGTACTATTATTATATGCATTTTACAGAAAAGGGAAGTGAAGCACAGAGAGGCGAAATAGACACAACTTACAGCCAGGATTCAAGCCATACTGTCTTCAAAATCTTTGCTCCTAACTCCTGTGCTTTGTTACCTGTCCATATAAAAATTCTGTTAATGAATAATTAATTTATTCTACTAGTCTCTTTATTATTATTATTCTCTTAAACTGTAAGTTTCAAATTCCCTCAATACAGAGAAATTCTGTAGAGGTCCTCTTATCTGGTATGGACATCAGTATCAAATGCTGATGGTGCTTTTTATTTGTTTCACAGGATTATTGGGACTTTGCAGAACTCCCCTGAGTTTTCAGAGGCCTATAATTGCCGCAAGAACTCATACATGAATCCAGAAAAGAAATGCCGAGTTTGGTGATCTTCAGAAAAAGCGACATGGCCTTTGGCTAGCCTTGCCAGCACCACGGAAAATGGGGAACTCTGTCCAAGAGAAAATGGGCCACCGAGGTCACTGTAATTACATGGGGGTAGTTAACAGAGATGAGAGAGCATCATTTAGAAATGAAGATAGTTTATTCTGGAAAAGGAATGGAGAGAGGAGGTGGGGGGGGGGTCTGGTGTCTTATCAAATCAATCACTTCTCACTGTGTAAATAATGTTTTATGTCTATATATATTACCATTCATTTCTGTTTCTCATATGATCTGCCAGTTTGATGTCATCTCTTGAAAACAGTGTTAACCACTTGGTGTAGCCTGGGCTTTCTAATCAAAGGGAGAAAGAAGAGGTTGAAGACTACAGTGGGCTCCAAAAGCACAGCAGTGGCATGAGAGTTAAAAAACACATCACCTAATTACTTCTTTTTATTTTTATTTGTAACATTTATGCTCCTGAAAAAATCTTCCAAAGAATTCTTATACATATTGGGGGCTTGGGACTTAATGTAATTTTAAACCAGTTTTGCCAATCATCAGTTATTCATCCTGAGATCATTGTATTTTAAGCTACTCTTAGGGCTAAAATGAATGTCTGAAACTGTTTTTCATTATACCTGTTTTCACTGATATTGAAATTCTTAAGGCTCCCTGCAATTTTCTAAGCAATTTCATGTTCTCTCTCTCTCTCAAAACTTGATCTTTTTAAGAGATTTGTAGTAATGTATAAATAATAATTTTTATATTTAATTATTACATTTATGACTAAGTAATTATTATTATAGGTAATCATTGAATATCAAAGTTTTGGACAGTTATGAACCAAGATCTGTAAACTAATGTACAGATGAAGATTTGAGATTTTTAAACTTATAAATCATATTGATAAAAAGCTTTACGCACAAACTAGGGGTGAAAATGACCATTGGACAGTTGTCTAAAGATACATAAGACCTGTGGTTTCCAATCAGGATGTTTGGAATAAAATCTGTCCCTGAGGTGGCTCCGATAAAAGGGCATCTATATAGCTCTGCGTCTCTTTATCTTTTCAGGTTTGTCGTCTGATGGAAATATTTTGATAATAAATTGAAATTGTGAGCTCATTACTCACTCAGACTACTGTGCCAGCTGTCTAGCTTTGGAAAGCGCATTTCTGAATATAAATGAGAGGCTTCCCCACCTCAGACAGACCTGCTTCTGAAATCCTAACTCACATAAGAGTTCTGGGAGGGGACTGTTTTGTCCCCGATAGGACCTCAGCTCTTGAGGCTTTTATGTTCTTCTCTTTTCCTGTCCTTTTGGCTAGTTTGGTTCATTTTGTTACTTGACAATATTTTACAAAAGAGGCATGCTCCCAACATCCTTATTCTTCCTAACAAAATGAAACTGAGGGAATTTTTGTTCAGAATATGAGTGTTGGTTTTCTTGCTTCTTGAAAGATGCCCATTGACTTTTTGGAAAAAAAAGTTATTGAAATATAACATACACAACAGTTTCAGAAAACATAAGTGCACCCAGCTCAGTGAACTTTCTGCTACTGAACACAGCCCTGTAATCAGCACCTTTAAGAAACAAAACATTACTAGTGCCTTACAAGTCCCTTCTTCCAACCACCATTTCACTCCTCCAAGGACAACTACCATCTGACTTTTAATATCATACATTAGTTTTAATCAATTAGTATGTATTCTTTGGTGTCTGGCTTCTTTCACTCAGTATTACATTTGAGATTCATCTATGTTGCTGCATTTGACTGTGCATCTTTCGTTCTCATTGCTCAGTAATATTCTGTTGTATGATGATACTACAGTTCACCCATTCCATTGTTGATAGGCACTTGAGAAGTTTCCAGTTTGTGGCTGTTACAAACGGTGCCATCTTCTTTAACTTGAGATCATTGTAATGGACTCATTTCCACACATATTTCTTAAAGTTATTATAAATATTGAAAATACAGTTTTAAACTAGCCATGGATATCCTTATCTCTTCCTATATCACTACCACCTTTATCATGGACAATTCAAAGTATACTTACGGGTACCTTTCTTTAAAATAAACTGAAAACACGTTTAAGTAGTATTGGTAATTGGAGCAATAGGAGTGTTCAGTTCTGAGGAGAACAACTATCTTTGAGTCATTTAATATCTATCCTAGCTGAAGAGCAACTAGTACAAATCATAAAAAGACACTAGACTCCTCACTCTTTAAAATGTCAGACTCCCATCCCTAAGGAAGGACTTGAGTGAAATTTTATTGGGGGGGAAAAAGATACCTCTCTAGTGCCTGGATCTCCTGTGTCTAGAAATAGCAGATTTCCTGAGATCAAGGGATACACCAAAGTGAGAAGGCCAAAACTTTCCCCTCCCTCACGCATGAGGATATTATTAATCTTAAGTGGCACTGTTGAGTTGTATGGATCTCTCTCAAACAATCCCAATCCTTTGGAGTTGTTCTCTCAGGTAAGGCCTATCTAATCGCACACATAAATCCAATTTCACCATGGATGAATCCTGGTCAAGGAAAGAGTTTAGAAGCTGAAACATTAAGAGTTGGGAGCCAATAGAACTCAGGGATGAGGACAGAAAGAGTTTCTCAGCAGCCACCCTTGGTAAGGAGTCTGCCTTCATGCTGTGGCGTCTATGTGGATTCTAGCTGTAAGGTGGAAAGGGTCCTGTCCTGGGAGAAGAATCTTCTCCTAGTCCTAGTCTTCCATTAATGACAAGGTGGCTTTGGACATTGGATCCATTCTCTTGGGCCTTTGTTTTTCCCACCTGGAGTAAAAGAAAATTAGATGCTATCTGTAGTTCTCAGCAGGAGAAGGAGAATGTATCCAGCACTTCTCTCTGTGTAATTTATCCCCCAGTTAAGAACCATTGTGTAAGAGAATTTCAAAACCCTCTTGTAAACACCTGAATCCAATTCAACCACATTATAGTTCAAAGGACAAGGGCCAAAGTTTTATCTAGTTAGGGTTTATGCTGCTCTTAATTGTTTTCTTGAATGGAAAACATTTTCACAGATGGAGTTCTCAAAGTAGAGGATAACTGTTAGTTTGGAAATGAGACCCCATCCTGTCAAAGGTGGAAAATCAGAAGGTTTCATGGGTTCCAATCTCAAAAATACAAAATAAAAACAAACGTTTTTCATAGTGTTGCTTTTACACTTAGTCCAGTCTCCCCTACCCCCCATGTCAACCCCCCACAGCATTTATGTCTTGAAAAATGTTGAAGCCAATGTTAGCTTTTATCTCCGTAATCTTACACTTCCTGCCAGCTTCAAACTGGATCTTTGAAAAATGAATGATATAAGCTATTTCACCAATATTTTCTTATGTATATCACCCCATTCTTCCAAAGATACTATCATTTTCTGATCTGATTTCTTTCCAAATATTCAGTGCAAAGGTTTCCAGATGGCATAGGAGTCACAGGCATAACCAGATGACTTAGGCAGAAACCAAAAGTGTCTTTGTGCACCTTCCCTGGGCCAAAGGATTTGACTCGTGGTTAATCAGGTGACGAGAGGAGCCACATGGGACTAGTCTCAAAGTGGCACATGTGTATTGCATTCTATTCTTTCCTTTAACAATGTTGTCTTAATTTTAACTCCTTTGTATTTGGAATTTCCTCTAAAACAGGGAGGAATACTACTGTTATTTTCAAGTTTATAGCCAAACTACTGTGCTTCTGTTTTGTTGACAAAGCAGAACATCTCGGTTGTACAAGAGAAACCTGACAGAAAAATGAGCATTGACTCCGCCAGAAATAACGATGGGCTCTCAGCGTGAACAGCGTAAGAGGATTGGAAGTCTAGCAATTGTGACTAAGTTTTATGTTTCTGAATTTCCTTTCTACCCAGAAACTAACAATAATTTTGTTCAGGTATAGACATGTTAACATCTGATTCTACTCCTATAAATGCACTTGGTGTCATCACTGAACTGATCATCTCCAATTATAATGCACCCTAAAAGTCCACTATGTATGCAGGAAGACAAAATTGGGGTCAAGTACGGTATCTGGATTATCAGTTACCTTGGTGGAAGTCTTTCAATACACATGCTATCAATGCTCTATGTCTCCTGAAATATGGCATCAAAAATGTAATGCTAAGGTGTTCATGGCAACTTTACCTTTAATATCAAAGCAATAGGGAGGGAAAAAACGAAATAGCATAATATGTTTAGATTTGTTCAGAGAAAATCAGAAGAGGATGGAATGTAGGTATGCATCATGATTTCAATTATGTTAAAATATTATTGCATAGAGAGGCGCCTGGGTGGCTTAGTCGGTTGAGCGTCCGACTTTCGCTTAGGTCACGATCTCGCGGTTCATGGGTTCGTGGGTTCGAGTCCCGCGTCAGGCTCCGTGCTGACTGCCGGCTCAGAGCCTGGAGCCTGTTTCAGTCTGTGACTCCCTCTCTCTCTGACCATCACCTGTTCACGCTGTCTCTCTCTCTCTCCTAGAAATAAATAAAAAATTAAAAAATATATTTTTGCATAGAAACAGAGTTGGAAGAATATATGCCAAAAATTAAGAGGGAATATCTCTGAGTGGTAGTATTGCAGGTGATTCTTCCTTCTTCCCCCCCCCACTGCATTTTAAATATTTCTAAAAGGTGAAAACGTTACACTTTAAAGTCATCTAAAAAATGTTATTTGGAAGAAAAGAGGAAGTAAAGTTGAGAAGATGGAAGGGAGAGGAATGAGGAGAAAATGGGCCCTCCAAAAGAAACCTAATTCCTGTGAATTTAAGATGTGTTCATTTACTTAAGAAGCTATTCAGTTTGGTAGCTCAGACAACTTAGACCCAAGGAATCCAAAGAAGTGGATCTTGGTCAGGAGCCCCCTTCTCCCACCACAGGCTAGATCTACTTCCCAAGGTGACTTTGACACACTCTGCTTCTTACAGAGTCAGGGAATTTAAAGGATCTTCCCCTGACTGTGCTCCAGGTGATTTACTGAGAACAAAGCATGTGCTTCAGAGATTTTTTGTTCTTTTCTTCTCCCTAAAAATACTAAAGGTGGTCTGATCTTGCCACTTTCTCCCACCTGGTCTCCCCCCATACAGAACCCTAACATTTGCCAAATCCTGGCCAAGGTTAAGGTTACCGCATGAGACTGAAACAGTAGTTAGTAAATTATACAGTGATCAGACCTAAATGCTCCCTGCTCAGATGTGTTTATTCACAGCTTTTGTTGTAAACGTGAAGATCACACTCATGCTGGTTTAGCTAAAACTAGAGAGCTTGTTGATCCACAGTACCAAATGTGGGACATGTATGAGTAACCAGGCCTTTCTTTCCATGCGTCTTCCTCATTGTTGCAGACTCCCTTTCTCCAAAACAAAGCTGTGATGGTCAACTCTGCCCAGGCTCAAAGATCCTCTGCTTCCTCTCCAGGGGAAGGACAAGATTTAACTATAGTCCACATTTAACATCTTAGAGAAAAACCCAATGAAAATCCTAGAGAAAAAGCTTATTTTGAAAACATGACTATCCCAGCGGATAGGGAATGGGGAAGTGGTGATTGTAGAAATTGTCATCATCGATCCCCTTAGCCTACCCTCAGAGAAGAACAGTTTTCCAAAAGAAGAAAAGCACCATTCCTAATAGTGAAAGCAAAAGAAACATGTGCAAAACACTAGTAATACTAGATGCTTAAACACTTTATAAAACATCTCGATTTGGATTATATTGTGCATATTACATTTTGAATAAGTGTCAACTTTAATTTTGTGTAATCAAAATGAAGACATACATGCATTTTAGTTAAATTTAATATTTAAGAAAATTGAAACTAATAAAAGAGGGGGAAGAAGAGAAATAATACCTATTATTTATAGTGAGCCAGACACATAATACAGGTTGTTTGTATAGAGTTTCCACTTAATATAACTAACCTGTGAGGTAATGTTGTACCTCTGTTTTATAGGTGGTGAATTTGAGTTTCACAAAGGTTAACTAATTTGCCCATATTCACACATGTAGTGAATGATAAGGCCGAGATATGCTGAAGCCCAAAATGCATATAAATGTACTATCAAAACTCTCTGCATCACTATAAAATGCATTCTAGCCTATGAAGATAAACTCATTTGTAGCTAATTCCCAAAAC